AAAAAAAAAAAAACGACGAGGAAAAGAGATTGACAAATAGCGCGCGCGCCCAAGGAAAGAAATGAAAATGAAAAGCAGTTCCATCAGACGGCTGCTTTCGCCTACTTGAGCATTCCCTCGCAATTCAGAGTACAGTCATGCTCATACTTCACATCCCTCTGCATTGTGTACAGTAATCGTCAGCTGCCGCCCGTGTTGCCAAGCTCCGCCCAGTCGTCCCCATGGTAGTGCTGCGTTTCGTGGTGCTTTCGCCTCATCGTCACGGGCTTCCCTGAAGAAGCGCCCACACCCCTTGCTGTTGTCATTACTCCTAGTGTCGTTGGTTTTGTTGTTGCTGATGGGGGTGTCAACGTCCGTTGTAGATGCGGTCCGTCCATCGAAGCAGCCACGTGCCTCGCCACGTTTTCTTCGCTGTTCTTGTCAATCTCCCAGCCGCACCCTCTAGACGGCTGGACGGGTGACACGACAAGCGCATCATCGTGGCCTCGCAGGTACGCCGCGACGTCCACTACATCGTCACGGGCCGTCGGCAATTCCAAACAAAGAGGAGGACATCGCGAAGGCGACACCAGCGGCGACGACCGAGATACAAATGAACGATGAAGACTCTCTGCAACCAACTCCTCATCTTTTGATGCAACAGATGTGGGGAAGATGGGCGCTTCGTGTTTGACAGCTGACTTTATCACATCTGACGATGTCGTTTTTGTTGTTTCCTCCATTGACGGCGACGGTGAAAACAAGGGCGGGGCACATTGGCTATGGGCTATAATGAGGGCGTTCGGTGCACTACTGCCACCGTCTCGGCTTTCCGATGCGGCAAAATCCTTGATGCTGGTGAAGTTCGTGTTCCCAGCCTCTAGGAAGGACTGTGAGTGTCGGCAGTCCGTCACGGCATCCCTGTGGTCGGCCAGCCTGCTCCGCAGCAGCTGGAGTTCAAGCATCAATGCGTGCTTCTCTCTGTTCTCCTTCAGCAGCTTGTCACGGAGTATTTCCTCCAACTCTGACACATACTCTCTGTTCCTGTTGTTTTTTTGCGACGTCACTGTTGAGGAAGATTGATGCTGTGATGGAGATGCGCTGCTGCTATTTTTGCTGTTCTCGCTGCGTGAGCTGTCACGGTGAAGCACATCAATGCCATCTAACTCATTATGAACCTGCACACCTGATGCTGCAGTTGCAATGGCTTTTTCCTTTTCCTCCACGCAGAGCAATAGGTGCCGCACCTGCCTGTGTAGAGCAGCAATGATGTGGCCCTGCAGCTCGCCCGTCTCACGCACCTCGTCCGCCTGCAACACTGCGCGCTGATGCTCCTCCTGCAATATTACTTTATGAAGAAAGAAGTGCTGCTCCAGTTCGAGCTGCTGACGCCTGTGCCACGCCCCCGTTGCACGCAGTCCTTCTTCCATGACCTCACGCGACACGATGGCATTGAGCAGATCCACGTAGTGAACCTCAAGGCTGTGGAAGTACGCGTCAAGCAGTTCTGGCACGTACGTCGTCCGAAATTGCACCAGCAAGAGATGTGCAACAGCGTCGAGAACGGCAGCACTGTGTATGTCCAGCGCCTCTAGTAGCAATGCGCCACTCGCCGATTGCCACCGCGTCATCGCAGCAGCAGCAGCAGCAGCAGCAGCAGCGGCGGCGTCCCACTCTTCCCTGCGGAAACGCGAATCGTGCCAAACGGGTGTGTAGCGAACAACAATGGCAGCTCCACAAACCGCAGACGCAATAATGACAGTTATGTATCGCAGCAAGGCCGATGATTTCGGTAGCGTTGTTTCTGTGGCATTTGTACGGTTCAACTCACAGAATGCGCGAGTCTCGGCACTAAACTCCGCTTCAGCCAACTGTAGCAGTCGCAAAGCATCCTCAACGTGAAACATTTCCTGCTCCTCCGCTGCGGCCAGCAGTTGCCCCTCACACTGCTTGGCTACCTGGAGCAACTGTAGCGCCTCCCTCGCGGCGTGTTCTTTTTTTATTCGCTGCAGCGCCTCCGCCTTGTCGGCGGTACACTGATCCCGTAGCTCGCGCTGGAGCTCGTCTTGGTCAAGCAGGTGCTGCTCCTTCGCCTCCGCAATGCGCTGCTCCATCTGTTTACAACATGTATCGGTAGGTGTCTCGGTAGCCCTGATATCATCCATTTTCACGGGTGAACCATCATGTCCGCGATGATCAAACGCGTTTAGGCTCGCCCCCTGAGCCATGCCATCCTCGTTAAACACATCCGCAGATCCCTGGCTAGACTGCACCTTCACTTCTTCTTCTTCTTCTTGCTGCTGCTCCCGTGACTCGCTCGCCTTAGGCAATGTTGAAGACGCCTCCTCATCAGCCGACTCGAGGAGTGAATGGCGTGGCTCCTCCACGCCTTCCCCAGTGTCGGCAGCATCCTCCTTCAGCCTCTTCTCAATGACGTTCGCCTCTTCTCCCAAAGGTACCATGGCCTTCAGAACAGCGAACAGTCTAGGAAAGGCGCCGCCTTTCAGTGTATTATCGATTTTCTCCTGCGACCACCGCTCTTCTCCTTGTACCTGCTGCATGTCAAATTCCACATGAAGGGCCTTCCCATTACAGTGTATTTTAAGTGGGTGGATTGATGCTGAAACAGGAAGCTCCAAGAGATGGGTGACATCCGCTATGAAAGCCTCGTGCGTGACGAGCGCCGCGAGACCCAATACTGCCCCTTGCCCACTGTCAGTGTCGTCACGCCATTTACTGCAGACGTCGTCAGCCAACAGAAGGTAGTGGCGGGTCGATAAAAAAGAAATGGTAGCTTTTTCGTTAACCCCTTGCGCTGATATTGAAGATGGAGTCTGTGTAGCTGCAGTCACGTTGTTACGGATGCTCATGTTGGTGCTATTTCTATTGCCGTCTTCAAGTGGCGTCTTCACATGAGGCTTAATTGTGCGGGGAGCTAGAGTTCCAAAGAAACCCTCTCGCAGAGCCAACGACCACGATTGTTTATCATGGGCTTGCTGCGTCACCTGCTTCTTCTTTGCAGACGGTTTGCTGCTCTTATGGCGGGAGTTCTTCCGGGGCTCAGACTCATCGGAGAAATGTCTGCCCATTAGCCAATGCCACAGACGGGATACAAGCGCCAAGGCAGGTCGCTTTTTCAACTGACTCTGTTTCTGTGCCTCTTCCCATTCAAGTGCTTCCCTGGCTGACGTCCAAGGTTCACCCAACGCACCTGACTTCGTCGCTGATTGACCTCGTCTACCTGCAACTGCTGGTGTTTGCTGCCGCTCATCAACAAGCACTGGCGCATTGGAGGTCTCATGCGCATCAACTTGTTGAGGTGGAAAAAGGTAGTTGTAGAAAGTTCCCAGCCAGAATATTACGGCAGGTGTGGCGTTTGCCTGTTGTACCGCACTCACATTGCCATTGGCGGTTGCAGCCGCAGAAACAGAAAAACTTGATGCAGTATAATTTGACATGTTCTCATGATCAGCAGGTGGCAGCGATGTCACGTTGTTGGCAAAGGCGAAAACGAGCCATATCCGCTGCGGCAAATCTGCTGCTGTGCGCCAAATCCAGCAGGCCGCTGCTTTCCCCTCCACTCCACACCACAGGAAGGCTTTGTATAGAAACGGCAACAACTCATCCCAGAAGAAGAGGTAGAGATGTGACCAGGCTGCCACAATGCACCGCACCAATCCACGAAGCACGTGCGGTATGCCTCTCAGCAACTCAGCACACACGTGGCCCACATCACGGCACCACGACAAAGACACCGACACGAAAGAAAAAAGTGGGTTGCGCGCAAGCGTGTAGTCCCACGAAACACTCAAGGCATGCAGACAGAGATTAATTGGAGCAGCCATCCACGAGGGTATAGAAGATGCCGGAGTGTCAGAAGCACCTCCCGTTGTCAGTGGTGATTTAGGCGGCACCCCATCAGCAACTCCGTCACGCTGCGCTATCAAGGCTACGACAGCGATGAAAAGAACGGAGAGAAACAGCGCAACATGAAGCCCACAGCGCCCGGGATGCCGTTCCGGTACCTGCGTTTCGTTTTGTGCAGCGTCCCTGCGTTTCTGGACATAATGCGAAGAGCCAAACTCTGGTGGGCCACGCGGCTCTACCCTACTGCGGTGCGACCGTGTCGTTGAGGCGGGGGAGGCCTCCACCCGGCTCATCCACGCGAAAACAAATAAAGACTTGGGTAGATATAGTTTGCGCACCTGCAGCGTGTGTGTGTATCCAAATATATGAAGGCTGAGTGGCCCTAGGCTTGGCACCAAGACCACAGCAGCCCCCTATACCACACGCAGCACCACCTTTCAATACAGAGCGAAAGCAAGAGTAGAATCAGAAGAAACAAATAGCGGAACAACATTAACACGCAGTGAGCAAAAGAAAAAAAAAAACATCCGAATGAAACAAGAAAACATGGTCGTGGACAGGGCCTGCCCCTGTTGGCACAAACATGGAAATCTTCCGCAAAGTTTGCTGCGCTGTTGCAGTAACGAGATTCAGTCGGATCGAACTGATGTTATACATCTCAACCTCATATCCCTTGCTACCCAACGGCTAGTTAGCGGTACGCCCACCAAAGAGAGAAAAAAAAACAGCCAACAGCTGGTTCACGGAATAGCACAAGTGCAGCATCAACTCAAGAAGGTTTAACCGGCCTCCCTCCCGACCTTGTGGATGTTGCTACACCAACTGAGGCGGGTCCCTTCCGTGCGCCACTACGGCTCCTTCCCCCTTCACCACCGTTGCTCTTACCCCTGTGGCCACTGCCAGCAGTTGTGGAAGGCGTACGCTCGCTGGGGACTTTCGTGTCGTTGCCGCTACCACCGCCACCGCCGCCGACGGTCCGCTTTCCGCTGCGGCCCCTCGTGACAGGCACCGCGCCGGAGCTGCCCGCCGGCGCCCCAGCCACCACCGACTTTTGGCGCAGCTTCGGCTGTACCGTGGAAAACACCACCTCACCGTCACCACCTTCCGTGACGGGAAGTGGCGGCAATTTTCGCCCTGGCACTGCGTCAGGTCGTCGTCGCCCTGGTGGCAGATGCGAGAAAGAAGTAATAGAGCTGTGGCTGCTACGCTGTGATGATATTAGGGGGACCGGCGGTGGTGGGGTTGGTGTTTGAGCCAATGGTGCACGACACAATGGAGCAGAAGCGGTGAAGGAACTTCTCACGAGATTAGAGGTTGAATCCGCGCGACTCGGTTGATCCACTGTGGAGTGGGATGTCTGATTTTCTTCTTGTGTCTGCACCACGTCATCACTACTGCCGCGGGGTACGACGGCAGAAATACTGCTGTCGACGTCGCCATTACCATCGGCGTCCCTATTAGCAGGGGCAAGATCATCTTGCTCAATATCGCGCTTCATCGTGGATGCCTTCCCTAACAATGCGCGAATTCCCCTCGCACCCGCCACCACAACCACGTCGTCTGCACTGTCGCTGAGCTTTTTCGCTCCAACTTTGCCGTCATCGTGAGTTTCGACCTTCTCTACACCGTATTCCTCAGCAATAAAGTCGTCCATAAAAGCGCAGAACTCATTGAACGAAGAGATGGATTGCAGCAGTCGCCATGCCGGGTACGACAGGACGTCCATCGTGTTGGATCGGCCTACCTCCAGGTCATCTTCATTATCCTCGTTATTCACGTCGTAAAGTGTCAAGACGAACTCCTCCACGTTAAAGCCCGGCACACGCCGCTTCAGGAGCCCCAGGAGGAAATTGCTCACGTAGCGGCTGTACCGCTCGTACACTGCCAATGCCTCGTGTGGGAACTCGCGAACCGCGTCGCTGTTACTGGCATCACCAGTATCACCAGTACCGGCCCGCAGGAACAGTTTGTGCTCCTGAAACAAGAAGCGACCCAGCTCATCCGTTACGCGCCTGTCACGCACAGCCATTTCAATGCAGCGTGCGCCAGAAAGAAAGCGGTTCAGCGATTCCTCTGCAGCGGATGCGAGGACACCGGCATCTGCTGCGAGAATCGCTTCCGTGTTCGTGTCGATAGAGACTTCACCCACACCTCTCTCATGCCGTTCCTCGAGTGCAGCTAGTGCGTTTCGGCGTGCTCGTTCGGCGGTGACGATCTCCATGAGAGAGAGCGGCGCTCCATACGTGCTGCCAGACAGGCAACCACTTCCTCCTCCTCCTCCTCCTCCTCCACTGTCATCCCCACTCTTACTGATGCTGCTAATAGGCGCAGCTAGTGCTAAGGGATCCGTATGATTTTTTAGCGCCCTACTCTCACGCGCCGCCTCCAGTGCGGCCAGTGTAAACGCCTCCGCCGTGTGATCCGTAGCAATGAAATACTCATCGTCTTTTTCCTCTCCGTGAGCAGCGTACAATTCTAATAGGGTGCGCTCCTGCAGCTCCGCAAAGGTACGTGGGGGGCAGACGTACGTTTTTGAGCGTTCTGAAAGGTGCTGCTGCTTCTCTCTGTTCGCGTTTTCTATGAGCAGAGACGATTCCGAACCTACTTTAGCATCTTCCAGCTCCGGTTTCTGCTCTTTATGGTCATCATTAGCAAGGAGATCGAGAAGGTGGGCGAATTCGCGTTGCGACGCACTGCGCTTCACATTTCCCATCCCATGAAGCGCCTCCTGAACGACTAACGGTGGCGCAGTCCGAGAGGGCACGCTACTGCCAATGTCATCATCAACAGCAGTAGCAGTACCACCATTAATACGTCTGTCACCATCTTTTCTCATCCATTCTCCTTGCGTCTCGTCTCCTGGGATGGCATAAGGGGGCCTATGGTCGGTTGCTGCTAGTGGCAGATCCTGCCTTGTTGTTCCCTCTGTGGATGTTGTCACTCCGCCCCCACCCGCCTCTTCCTTAGCAACCGTGCTGCTGCTTACATTCCTGTTGTTTGCAGGGCGGCCATTCGGGTACAGAAACTGAGCCGTACGTTCCCGTGCGGCTCGGTACAACTCAGCATCGCTGTTGGACGTCTCGCTCTCGCACTCCCGCACCTGTGGGGCTGTCATGAATGCTGCAGCAACCCTAACATTGTTGTTTCCAGTAGGCTTAGCACAGTTACCAACTGGTCGTCGGCCTCTCCGACTCTGGCTACTTTCATCGCTTGAGCTTGAGCTTGTGCTGCTGCTGCTACCAGCCCGGCGCTGGTGCTGCGGCTTATTGATTGGAAGGGTACGGCGAGCCGCGCCCTTCTGCTGCTGTGGCTGCCACTGACCGCGGGCAGCAAGGCGAGCTCGCTCAGGATCAATACGCTTCGCCTTGATCGGCATCAAATCGACGGCGCAGACCCACCCACCACTTTCTTACTCTCACTCTCTTCTCCCCTTCCCTTTTCTTTTTTTCTGCCTTCCTGGGAGCACTAAGCACGCAGAAACACAAGAGTAAGAAGCGAAAGATCAGCACACAAAAAATGAATCACACTATCACAGGACCTAAAGAGAAAAAAAATTTGTAAGGGACGCAAGAACACCACCACTATTTTCTTTCAATAGCGTAAGAACGCTCTGCTGCCACAGGCCAGTGTGTGCCTGTGTCCATCTGCCTGTGTGTGGAGGGGAGGGAGGGGGTAAGTTCCCCCGTGGCTATTCATTCCCAACGACCTCTCAACTCACTGCGTGGCTGCAGCAAAATAGAATCAAAGAACAACAACAACAAAATGTACATTAACAGGTAGTTGTCGGAGCAACCTCAATCATCTTTCAAAACCCAGAGAATGTTGCAGCTGGCTGATTCTCATTTTCTCCCCCCTCTCTCTCTCTCTCTCTCTCTCTCTCTCTCACACCTTAGCCGTTCCACCATTTCCCCCCATGGATTCCTCTTCTGTTTCTCTCTCAGCAATATACATGCAACGCGTAATAGTACATACCGCAGACTCTGTTGATGGATGAAGAGTGTGCGCGCAAGAGCAAAACCGAAGAGCTGGGCTGAGAGCAAGAGGGAAACCCATGTGTCCAACATACTAAGGCTCAGCCGCGAGAAAAATACTGATTGAAAACGGGTAGTTGAGGAGAGCGATCACGCTCCTATCATACATTACACCACCTAGAGGACCAAAAAAAAAAAAAAAGACAACAAAAAACAACCAGAAACAAACGGAGCCACAACTCTGCTGAATATTTCAGATGACAACTGATATGGCCCCATCTCGTTTTGTTTTTGGTTTTCTGCTCATCTACAAGGAAGCCAACTCCCATGAGAGTTATGCATAGCAAGCAATCCGCGTCCACCGCTCACCTTCGAGCAGCTGCCGTATCACCGATGACGGGTTAGGCATTAACGCGACGCTTAATGGCACCCTCAGCGTAGACACGAGACGCATCACCTTGCAACTTCTTGAACTCCAAAAAGTGCTTCGCCTGCGCTTCCCGTTCTTGGTTGGTGGTGCGCCACAGCGCAGCGGTGCTCTTGTACTGCAGCGGCTCCGTCGCCGCGACGGTCTTTTCAGCACATACAGTTTTTCCATTCACCGCGTCGGCGCCCTTGATCGAGTTGCCGGATTCGTCAAACATGTTGGGCTCGCCAGCGGCAGGTGACACCGCCTCCCGCGCTGCAGTGTCCGCCGGTGCCTTGGTGCTGTGGTGGTACTTGTTGTAGGTGCTTCCTGGGTATTGGTACTCTGCGTCAGCCTTGTCAGCTGCCTCTGTGCTGCCGCGCTTTCCTGACACACAAGTTTCGCCCTTGGGGTCGATGGGGAGCCACACCACACCGGAGCCGTACGGGTGCGAGTCGTAATTAAAGCGCCGTGTGGTACTGCCATGCAGAGACGGAAGCATCGACTCTGTCACTAGCTGCGGTGGGGGCAGCTGGCAGGTGTGCTTGCCCTGGACGTTGACGGCAAAGCAGTGACCGCATGTGTGTGGCTGCAGCGGGCAATCGGCGATCATTTTCTTCGTCTTATCATCCTGCTTCCGAACAAGGCGGCGCAGCTTTGTGACGTGCTCTGAAGTAAGCGGTTTGCTCGCGCCACCAGTGGCGTGATCGTCGGTAATGTCCTTTATGGTCTGCAGCGCCTCGTAGAGGTCCTCCTCCGCGGAGCAGGCCGGCTGCACAATGTTGCAGGCGTCATTCGTCTGTTCCACCACTGTCACGTCGGGGAAGTCGTCCTGCGTGCCGACAGCGCAGTCCCGCGTGGCGTCCATGTCCTCGTCCGGCAGCCCTGCAGCACGACGGTCACGGCGCAGCTGCCGCTCCGCCTTGATGCGCTCCTTGTTCTCTAGGATGAGGAGCTCCTGCAGACGGTCACGGCGGCGCACCGGTACCGTCAGCGCTGCTCTCGCCATTTCACCTCGGGTGCTCTGCAGCATCTCATCGGGCTTGAACTTGTGCGCGTTCTTCGAGCTCGCCATCAGGCTCTTCGCCCGCAGACTCTCGTTGAGGGTGCGGAGATACAATTCATCCACGCTGCGCCCGGCGCAGCTACGGAGCCTGGTGCTGCCGGGAATATGGCCTTGGCGTCCTTTCTGCTGCTCGCAGTAGGAGCAGCGGCAGAAAGTCTTGCATTGATCACGAATCATGTTTGCTTTTGATTACTCTTTGCTTTGGCAGGTGCTTTTTTTCACTACGCGGATGTACTTGTATGCTTGCGTGGACGCCCGTATGTTGCCACGGAAGTGATATAGCGTTCCGCATTGCACGGAGGGAGAACGGAAATAACCAATAAGAGCAAAACAGAAGTAATAAAGCCTAGCACACAAGCCATGTAGACTACAGGAGAGGGGCGCCTCTACAACAGGTCCATGCACGTTACACACAGCCTCTCGGCCTCTGCCTATAATACATGCGGCCTCACCGACGAGCAGAGATAAAAACGCGTTGCTGATAGTGTTGAGTTACATTGTGCACGCTCTTCTCCCAACCTCGTTCGCATCCGCTCTGAGAAAAAAGGAATAACAAAAGAAAGAAAAAAAAAA